CCCCCCAACAGCAGCTCCCCCAGCTCATGGCGCAGCATGAGGGCCCCTCTGGAAGGGCCTGAAGGCTGGAGTTTGATAAGGGTTCAGGACAGAAGGGGCTCAGTCCATGGAGGACATACCAACTCTGGGGGCCCTGGTGGTGGTGGACCAGCCGCTTGCTCCTCTGACTGGACGGACTCTGACAGAGGGAGCAGCTGACTGAGCAGCTTCTTCACAGGATGCTGATTCTGGAGTGAACAGGACGGCTGGTGGAGGAATATTATACTACTGATCTAATGAGAAACAACAGTTTAATTATGAGACACAAACATCCAGACCTGTCCAGCTCCATGTTTGTCTCTGAGGAGCTCTGGGAGAAATGTTCATTATGATTTTTAAATGTTTATAAAGTCACAGGTCACTGTGACCAAACACAAATATGCCTTATCGTTTTAGCCAATGGATTAAAAACCCAAACAGAAATGGGGGGGAAGGGCTCATCAGATCAGGTTTAAAGCTCAGACTGCAGGAACAGCCCTCATGACTGTTTTCTGGGAGTCTTTATCTCTGATTGGCATGTTAACCCGATTCTTCAATTGTAAACCTGAGAATAAGCCAGATTAGATCAAGAGTAAAAAATGGACATTTATTGGGTCACAGGTAAAGTATTTCAGCGCTGGGCTCTTCACAGAGGAAACCTCTCTCTCAGGGTCTCAGTCGCCAAAGAGCCCTGAGATCTGGGGGTGATGGGTCTTTGTCTTCTGGGCTGGGCACACCCCTCAAAAGGAGGACTGGACACAACCAAGTCCTATTGGCCAGTTACCTCTAAGACTAACAAGCCGGGTCCTAATTCATGTTGATCACATTGGAATGTGGAACCAAATGATGTGTGTGTGTTTGTGTTGACAGAGAGAGAAAAGGAGAGGAAGGAAAGGAGAGAAAAGAGAATCTGTGGTTACAGCCAGAGACTTCAACACAAAATATAGTTATAAAAGAAAATAAAACAATCAGTAATCTACATAGATCATGTGATAGCATACTATGATAAAGTGAGTATTTTTTGACAAATGCAAACAGGCAGCAGCTTTTTGTTTTCAGGTTTAAGAACTGAGAGTGAATGAGTCATTCCCTTAGTCTGCAGACTGCTGGCGTGTTGTTCTGCTGTCACATGATCCACACAGACACACCTGTACAGGTAGAACTGGTTTCCACATTCTAACATTCATGAACTTGACGGAGTCGACGTTTTCCACTCAGGCGAAGCAGAATATGAAGGTAAATGATCAGTTTTTGTTGCTTTAATATGTTTAGCTGGCTAAAATCAGCAGTTGTAAACAGAAATCTGCATTAAATGGTCCGTTCCAGTTTATTAAACAAACTTCAGTTCAGCTGAACAGAAG